AAGCAGGTTTGCATGAAAATCAAGTTGGTCCGGCGAGACCCCCAACCCTGGGCCCTGAGCTTCCCCTCCCCCTTCTTCCCCTTGCTTCCCCCTTCTAGCTCCCTCCTCCCAGGTTTCCCCCTCCCCTCTCACACCCTCTCTCTTCCCCTCTCCCACCTCCTTTTCCAGTCTCCCCAGAGGTTCATTCCCCCCCCCCTAGTTTTGCTCCACATGGCCAAGTGCTGTGGTGTCCCTAGTGTGGGTACTCAGGGCACTCCAAGACAGGGATGCTTTGCTGACCCTCATCGAGGTAGACAAGCAGGTGGGGAACCCTGAGAACTATCTGTCCGGGGTGGGCATAGGGACCCTTTAAGCACGGAGCTCAGTTAGCTTCAGGCAGCAGCCCCACACACTAAGTCCTAACCTGATGCCCTGCCGGCACTGGTTCCAGCCAGCCTTAACTTTGGTTCAGGGTCCACTCAGTATGGACATGCTATTTCAAAATAGCAAAACGCTATTTCAAAATAGTTTTTGTGTATAGATGCGTTAATTCGAATTAACTATTTCGAATTAAGTTAACTCGAATTAACACTGTAGTGTAGACATATCCCTAGATATTAAGGCATCTTTACTGTTGTCTGTGCTACCTACTGAGAAGAATCCTTAACTTACTTTCAATCCACTGTTTCTGCGATGGTAAATTCTGCGATGGAGACAATTCAACCTTTATTTCTGTGTGAAAGCAAAATTTGGCCAGCAAGGATTGTCAACACTGCTTTTGCCACCTTTGGAAAACTGGCCAATTTCCACTTCTACTAGTGTGCAGTCACCCAGCCAAAACACTTTGTGGTGCCTTATATTTTGCTACCCATGTTGTTCACCTGTTTGACTTGCATGATAAGCCCGGCCTTGCATACAGGAGGCAGGTATAAATTGTATGGGGAAGATACATAACAGACCATGGGTGGCTTCATATCCCTTGACAAGGCCTGAATGTAAACATTCAACCTTTACATTCCACATCATTGGCTGGCTTCCTCCAGAGCAAGCCACACCGATCATGCACATTTAAAACCTTGAAAGCCCCAGTCAGTGGAATAAAATAAATATTATTTGGCAAGTTGCCATCTCAGTTCAAATATATAGAGTAATCCAGTGTAATATGTCATGCTCCTGTCTGCCAGCATGTATTTACATTACATTGGCCTGCTAAGTGATGGATGACAGCTGTACCCTGGGAAAAATATCTGCCCAGGAATGTGGTAACCTTTGCCTGTCCCTTGAAAGAAGATGGAACTGGCACTACTGGAGCAGCTGATGCCTCTTCACAGCCCTCCTGTTTGCACAGAGGCACAAGCAGTGAGAAATCCATATCATCTGTCTGATTGGAGCGCTGATAAAGATGAAATTAAACATTTAATAGGGAGAAAGCAAACCAGCTGGAGGGGAAACTACCTATAAAACATAGTGACCCATAGACGAGTTGGCCATACTGAATAGATTGGACTTCAATACCTGCGGAAAAATACATTCAACCATGCCAAGGACATTCTTTGGCATCCCCTGGTGCAGCGGAAAATTAAAAGTAAAAGTAACCTACTGTAGGGCATTCTGTGAAAATTATGTCCTTTTTTGGTTGGATGGTTTGTTTCTACCCCATTCTCAATACAAGGGAAAAGTGCAAGGTGCATGTTCCCCAGGCTTTTCCTTGCCA